CTATCTTCAGTTCTGAACTCTTCCCCCTTCCGACAGGGAATTCCCACTGGAGGGGCGTTCCAGTTGAAATTTATGACTAGTAATTGGGAAATTCCCTTTTGCCAGTGCAACTGGGCCCCAGCAAAAGTAGTCAGTGAGAATGCTGCTAAATGGAGCTTTTTCACTGTGAACAGAGCCGGCCCAAGGCATAAGCGAACTACGCGATTACTTAGGGCCCTGCGGCCACTAGGGCCTCCAAGATTTAACCAATGTAAACTGAACTGACCACAGAGTCACTGAGACCATGGGCGTAATGGACACGGGGTACTGTCACGATAGTCAATAAATCAAACAATTGCATGATAAATTATTTTGAGGTTGATAAAAAAATGAGGATAATTTTCATTTACCTGCTTGTTAAAGTTCCTCTAAAATAATCTTCATGCTAATTCAGTAAAATGTTATTTAACATTATAATTTAATAAAGTAGAATGTTTCACTATGAGGTGAAATAAAATGCTAACATTGTCACTAACACATTTTCTTTATTTAGTTTACTTTTTGAGTGTAAATTCTACTGAAAATTTTTAAATTTGAATTCAAACTTTAAATGTCATCTTCAGCAGCTTTAGCATTAGCAGTATTAGCATTAGCAGTATTAGCAGCCTTAGCTGTCATCATTCTGCAACAAGTAAAAATCAGCAAAATGTAAGAACAGTGAGCTAAATAAAAATAAAATATTAATGGATGAAGCTCTGTGTGATGGAAAAATACGTTTGTGTTCTTATTAAGGTCACTGTGTTTTCTGTTCAGTTAATGATGGTTTTGGCTAGGACAAGATCTGTAATTTATCAGTTATTTTTCTATCTTGACTCGTTACAGGGCCTGAAATGAAGTCTGTTTAAGCTAGCATCGGTATGTTGAAACAGTATAAATAGATAGTCATTAGAACTGCCTGTAAGCATAGATCTTTACAGACAGCCTGATGGCTCTTGGTTGATTTCTGTGTGTGTTCTTGTTTAATGAAACAAACTCAGACGACCACACTATGAAGTGCTTTTATACTTTGGATCATGTAATTATGTTCCTTGTTAAATAAATATTTCCACAACACTCCACAAAATAGGACACAACCGTAAATCGTCACCTAAAGACAAAAGACAAATATATTTTTATTTTGCCTGAACAGATTCTCTATCCTGTCCTATTCGCAGGACAACAAATTTAATGTTCCTTAATATATCCTTGGTAGAATAAAAGTGACTTGATGCAATTATTCTGTTTTTACAGATGATTTTTAACAGCAACATTTAATTTTGAAACAAGGTTTGAGCTGCTTCTCCAACTTATTAATTAATATTTTTGGGTCATACTTGGTGTTCAAGTATCTAATTTGAGTAAAATTCTTTTTAAAAACATTTCTAAGATGTCACAACTTAATAAACTCTAATTGTACAGTATGTTTTTCAAGGATGGTGTGTTAACATACAAACAAACATACATACATACATACATACATACATACATACATACATACATACATACATACATACATACATACATA